TATGGTTCGAAAATTATTCAAATTGAAAACATTTTTAATTGAGCCCTGTATTTTTCAGGTATAATTGTATAAATTTCCATGTAGTAAATTGCGCTCAATAGATAGGTATACTTTTTTTTATGGTAGTCATTTAACATTACCTAGACTCTAGGTCCTAGAAGATACCATGAATAGGTGACTATCATTGTTCTATAAAAATGATTTTTTGGTTTGCATTGTAATTTTCAATTTTCATTTTTTCCCCCTTTTATTTTTTCTATAAATGTCAATAAAATGATGTTGGTTTAGTCAAAAAGCATGAAAATTTAATACACGAGACTCTTGATATATTGTTACAGTAGCAGTTGAAAAATATTAAGGCACGATTCTTTATAAGCATTTAAAATTCAAATGTTGACAATATTTATCAAATTGAAAATGATTTTGTACTTAAAAGTGTATACAATTTTCAATTTTTATAGCTAACAATTGAAAATTTAAAACAAGGTTACTTAAACAGTTTTTTTCGTAACTAAAAAATCCAAAAAATATATGAATACAGTTATTTTTTACAGACATATGAGTTCAAATTTGGACGAAGTTGCATATTAACACAAAGAATAACGTTTATCATTTTGTTGTAATTTGGTTACAAAATATCCCAATTATACATAGGTATAATATTTTTCCAGCATCACCGATAATTTAAGAATAATATTAATTCAATTTACCAGCTACCATATAATAATAAATAATAACTATTAAATATCCTGGACTGACATACCGTCTCCACTCAGATTCGGTTTTCGTATACAATTATATGATATCATTAAATTCAAATTTAATACCTAACCTAACCTAACCTCCTGGGCATCTAATGTACAGCAGAGTGACATCCATTACTCCATTGTTTTTTATTTAATTTTTTTAAATTGAGTTTTCAAATTTATAAGGTTCATTTATTTATATAATATATTTATGTGTACATTTCAGATTGTAACTCTAATAATTTATCCATAAAAGTATTAGGGAAAAACATTAAATGAACTACAGTATTTAAAATACATGATATATATAATACAACTGATGTCGATGTCAAGGTCACTTGGATACTATACCCATTTAGTATTTACTATACTCATTTTTTGAAACCGAAAGATCCCAGGCACAATTTATAATACCCATTTTAGAAACCTAAAAATTCCGGGAGCAATTTACTATAGTATTTTTATTACCTGCTCAATGTGGGCGCAATTTACAAGTGCCCATACATATTCCATGTTTGATAACTCAATACACTGTTATATAGGTATTTATTATACAAAAGTTTATAATATACTCGTATTGCATAGAAATCATAACTATTATAATATTGACTACATAGATTGTTTCGTCCATTAGTTATTTATCATTATAGGTGCTCAAAACTAAGACTACATTTAACTGAGAGACCTAACTCCTATAAGTATCTAAAAATTGATGGGAAAATGTATTAAAATATTAGGTGCCTAAATGTATTTGATAAATTAGGGGTCCATGTAAATTTTGACCAAATCATATGCATAAATTGACCCAAACGATATGTGGTTTTGCCATTTTGGGCTATTCACCCAAACGAAAATTGCTCAATCAACGCGGTCGTTCGTCTATCTTAGAGTTTCAGCAGCTTCTGTATTGAATGGGTACTAAAAACAATGTTACTAAAAAAAATCGATTGTTATTTGTCACAAAACAAATCATTATGATAATTTATTATCAAAATAATTGTTTTGGTTCCTTTTAAAAATACAAAAAAAATTAAACTAATTTTTCTCTTCTGGCAACCAAAATGGTCACTTTCATAAATTTACAATAACCTGTATTCCTGTAACTATTATCCAGCCATACTCCTTTATACTTTTATTATTATATACTTCGATAATATCAAACATTATAATTTCGACGACGAAACACGATAACTTCGCAAGCTGTTTTTGACGAAATATAGTAGATAACCTGGCTAATATAATACAATATTCAAGAAATGTATAATATTCTTGTGAAAATTATAAAAATATAAATTTAAAGGAAAAAGCACATTCACAGATAAAATCGAAAGAAATCAAAATAAAGTTTACTTTGATACGATCATAATAACACCTACTATACGAATTTATAATATGATATTGATATACAAATTATTACCTTATATATCATACTTCCCGCAAAAATACATTTGCTTCAAAATCCGAACCTTATTAATTATACAGGTATATGAGTTCATCAAACACTAGGTACTAATAAATAGATCATTGTTGCCAGGTTTAATTTCATCATCATAATTTGTCAAATCTTATACTTATCTAATACTTTTAAATCATTATTAGGTAGGTACTTGAAACTAAGTCCTACCGACAAAGAGTTAACTCTATAATGTAATAAAATAGTAGTTTAAAAACTGAATTTATACTGTATATTGGTAATGGATATAATTTTATTAATTTCATGCCGTTTTGATTAAAATTGCTATATTTTTTAAAACATATTACATTGTTTTATTAGTTAACAAATATTTTGAGTATTTAGGACAGTTATGGCATTTTATAGGCATATATTTTAGTTTAATTACAAAATCTAAATGTAACATTTATCGAAAAATGTCAGATCAGTTAATATATTATTATGTAGGTATGGATCAATTTTTTTTTGTAGTTTAAAATTTGAACAATTTTAAAACATTTTAATAAATCTGTAAATCATATTAATGAACACTGAGGAAATAGACCTATTATATGCACTAACCATACTGATCAGTTTGGATTAAATGGCCTCAAACCGTCTCTACAAATACAACAGTACAAATCATTGCGTATAAGTACCTATACTTACGTATCGAATCTTTAGGGCGGCTGTTGTCGATGCGCATGGGCCACTAAACACACGTGGGCATATAATATGAAGACTTGTACAGTGACAACCTGCAGTGTCGTTGATCCTTCAGCATTCAAAATTCAAATTGGACTGCCGCGATTAATAATTACAGAAGGACGTCAATTAATTAAACCTTTACTTGGTTTCACATCCAAACATTACAAAAAAATGGGCGGTGTCCCGTGATCGTATACCTATGTGTGTAAGTTGTAGTAGGTAGGCATCAACACTACATGTTACACATTTACACTACCCATATATTGTATTATAAACATAAAACATAATACGAGTGTGTAATATGAGTCGACTAGTTCAAACTCAAAGGCACAAACACCGCAGCCGGCGCAGGTGCACGACAACCGGGCACCGCGGGACGTCCCTTTTATTATGTTATAGGCGTGGTTGTAGAATTAAAATTAGATCACTACAAGTGTAATTTACATTATAGCGGCGAGTGACGTAATCGACATCCCGCCGCCTGATTTCCAATTCTATGAGTGTTTACTTTTATAATAATAATATGATTATCTCTTCATATGACGTATCGAACACGGCTTATAACAATACAATATATACAGTTTTTTAACCGATTAATGGATTTACCTTTTGAATGTGTTATAACCATGTCCGATATAATGAAATATTTATAAGAGACTAAATTTTTGTTTATCAAGTAAAACAATTAATCAATGGTTCTTGCACCTACTTGTATTTTATTAGTTTAAAAGTTAAAATCAGCGCAGGGTGACACGTTTGTTAATAAGGCACCGCACGGCCATTTTAAATTTCCCATATAGTGACAAATAATAAAAACTAAACAATTAGTATATTTATTGCGGAACTTAACGTACCCAACTACTGTAAGCAATTAAATGTAACGAAACTAACAACTTTTTGTGAAGCAAGCTTTTTTTTATAAAATATTATATTGTAGTATTCGGCATATTACGCTCTCTGTAATGTTCTAATGTTTCTGTGCAGACAGGTCGTCGGAAATAAAAACATGGTTTGGGTCAGATAAAAGCGGTGTTGTACGATTGAGAACGTTTTACTTTTTTAGCCACACGATTGAGAACGATGTCAGCAGATCAAAGAAACAATATTTTGTACCTTAAAATCAAACTAAGAACAATATTTCTAGCGACGTTGCCATTTATCTTAACTTTTAGTAATAATTTTTAGGGCTGGGATTTTGATGCAAAGGCATATTTTTTTGGTGTTTTGAAACGTTTAAATTGTGTACATACTGGCAAATAAATATTGTTTTTTTAAATTTTTAATCTTAAGCTGACAAATATGTTGTATATAAATATAATTTTTTTAACTTTTAATCTAAAAAAAAATGCCTTAAAATAAGTGATGAATGTATTGATTTTACAATGATATGTGTGTGGTTTTTTTTTATCAAATTTAAAATTTAAATATGATTTTTTTTTTAGGGTTGAAAATTTAAAACAAAATTTCATGTAAGTTTATTTTGTAACCAAAATAATATAGTGATTGATAATATCTTATATATATTGTATATTGTATTTTTTTATTTTTTATTAATGTGGCAACGTTGCATAAAAGTTAGCAGGTAAGAACGTTCTCAATCGTGCTATTAAAAAAGGCACGGCCGATAAGGACCGTTCTCAATCGTGTTCTACCCGATAAAAGATAATATTTGGATTATTCACGGTTCGTCATTTATTTCTATAATTCATAATTAATATTATAATGTTTTCTTATAAATGTTTCTTTATTTTTCTTAAGAATAATATAACATAAGCTCATTAAGTTTGCAACGAGAAAAGAAGCCACCTGATGAAGAACTGCGACTTTCCAAATTATAAAATCAAAATTAATTGTTTATGTCTTGCATAACTTAAAATCATCTCAGTAATTTATCATAATCTAATCTGTTAATTGCTTCCATAAGAAGACCGCTTATTATTCAAAATATTCTATATAAATATTGTATTTAAGATAATTTGTTTTTTTTTTAGAGTATCTAGGTATATTTAATATATAGTAAATATATAGTAATATAATATATAGTAAATATTTTTTCATCATCATTCTTAACTCATTGATATAAATAGATTTTCGAAAAAAAATTAAAAATTTGAATGGGTGCTAAACGAGATTTGTTACAAAGTAAGAACACTGATGATTGACCTTGTCAGGACGCTGTTCTGCAGGCCCAGCGTCATCGTGTAAGAGACTTAGGATTGAGATCTCTGATCAAAACACAAGAAAAAAGTCTTTATACAAGGTAGGTGTAATCGCCCAAATAAGTTTGAGAGTGGAAATATGGGCAATGCCAAAACTAGCGGGCCTTTTATGGTTGGTTGACGACCACATGTGGCTGCGCCTTGTAAACGACGGTTAGGCAATTACATATGCACAAACGACGACAACGACGAGAACGGGAAAGACCTAAAGCGGGAATGAGGATGGTGTACACTGTACGTTAACCTTCCAGTGGGCGTGCCATTATTTGAAACAAGAGTAGTCGCGCGTTGTAAATTTTACAACAGTCCTAATATGCTGTGATAGTCGTACATATTATATCTACTAATAAAATAAACAATAGGTACGTTCACAAAGTTGTTTTTATTTAAATACTATTATAATTATGTTTTATAAAAAAATCAATACGTCTTATTATTATTACATAAAAAATTTTAATTATTTTTAGTATTTGTTTACAGTACGAAATTATTCAGAATTGTCATTGTTATCGTTATTAGAACACTTTTCACAAATAATAATTTTTTTTGAATGTAGCTTACGTACAAATCGCATACACTTGGTGCACTTCATAGATGTAGCCGCATTTTTTTTTCTCCCACATTCGAAGCATGTGAAGTATGGAGAGGGGGTCTCTGTGATCGATCCGGTTTGGTGCAATGATCACAGAGCTCACAAACAACAGGGACAGTACTTAAAGCTAAATTAAAACTACTGAAGTCTTGTGGCGATGGCTTGGAGAAGACGGGGATAGTGAGCGGCCTCTCACACAACGTACTGTTGCTGGTTTACTTACGCTTTGACTCCGTCGACCCAGCGTGCTGATGTGAGTATCACTAACTTTGACGGTGACAATAATAATAATAATAATAACTTACTATTGTATCTTTCTGATGGACAGTTATTTATTTATTGAAAAAAATATATATACAGTAATAATAATAATAATTATAATAATAATAATAATAATACTGCGGTTTTTGACATATATTGTAACATGATGCAATCTAACTTTTAAATATTTTGCTATAAAAATTAGAATCTAACTCTAAGTCATAACATTTCAAAAAATCGTAATTTTTACAACTTACATTTACAAGATAAGCATAAAATAATCAATAAACATCGATTTTTGTGAAGTTTAAAATTAGATGCAGTCACGCAGCTGAACAGAGCATTTCTAGGGATAAACATTCATATATAGTAGATGATAGTATTAAATAGTATTCTATTAAGACAATTGGCTTAATAGAACTTACTGAATCACATACAGGTAAAGTATACATTCAGTGTAATGGAACAGTTTTTAGTTTATCAAAATTAATTTTAAACGCTTTACATTTTTTCTCTTAGGTGTATATTTAAAAGATACAATTTTAAATGTTTTAAAAAAATTTAAAATTGTCATAAATCAAGTTTACACTATTAAATCAGACAATGGAGCAAATACGCTAAAAGCCATACATTTATTTGAAAATGAGTTTGAAACACAGGTGTCTGAAAATAATGATTTAGAAGTTGGTGAAAAAGTTTATGAACTAGTAGATGATGATAGCGATAGTACCTCAACATCAGAGGATAATAATGATAATAACAGGTAATAATTCTACTCATATGTTGTAAACAAAATTATGAAAAATGTGATTAATTTTTTGTAGTGATCTTGAAAATGTGTTAATGTTCAATCCAAGTCTTGACCATGAAGAAATATCTGACTTATTAAATGAAAACTTTGATGATGTTGATGAACCATTAGATAAAACAGAAAAAATTGTAACTGATATTGCTGCCCAAAATGTTGGTGGTGAGATTTTTACTGATGAGTTAATAGGTGACATTTGAGTGGCTATAAATAAAATAATAGTACTAACTTTTTAAATGTTATGTTAACTCTAGTTATTGAAATTAATAAATAATTTTATTAAGCACAATTCATAATTTATACAAAATTACAAACATATTCCGACTCATTTAAAAATATTTAAATTAAACATATAAATAATAATATCCCTATATTTTGATATTTCTTGTAATGTGTTGCATAAGCACAACTATGACGAACATTTTTTTAGGGGACTGTAGCTCATATTTTCTCTTTATTAATCTGTTTGGATATTTTTCTTACATCCCTCCACTAAGTTAGTAAATTTGCAAATGGCTTGTTATAAAATATATACAACAATATTTATATTTGTTTTATAATATTTATACAGTATGATTTTCTATGCCAACCCACTCTTTTTGCTTTTATAATGTATTTAGAAATTATTAAAATTCTGACTATCGGAAATTTTGAATATACTATAGGATCATGTTTTAATTATTATTTAGATTTTCAAGTACAAAATATACTTAATAATTTATTGTAAAAGAATTGATTTTCGTTTGAAAATTATAACCACACACCACAGGACTCCTTAAAATTTAAATAGCAGACAGCAGTATAGTAAAACAAAATTAAGCATTTGCCTAATTTGAGAAACAGCCATGCAGCATACCTGCTCATTTTCAGAAAATTTTATTTCTCATCGAAGAAAACATTTTCCGTTACTTATTATCCAATATAAGCAAGCCCCAACCTAGATAAATATAAATTGGTAAAAATACCATTATTATTAATAATAATAGTATTACATACTATATACTTTTTTTTCCTGATATTTTTATAATATTATTATATACTTATATGGGTAATTTAATAATTATGACATATCTTTCATAGTACTGAATACATTTTATATTTTTATGTATCGGCAGTTAAATTAGAACCAAGATTTGTTTTATGTTAAAAACTTTAAACTTATATATTTATATTTTATATATATTGTATGAAACTGATTAATTTCATCCAATTGGGATAGAATATTTAAAGTTAATAGATTTCTTATTTTATTGCAGGTATTCGTTGTGTCGCTCATACGCTTCAATTAGCAATTACTGCTAATCGACTACCGATAGCCTCAAAGTTAGCACTGTTGAACAAATATTAAATAAGGTCAGAATCTTAGTAAGGAAGTTAAGAAACAAACTTTCTTATATCTTATGAAAAAAGAAAAATTAAAGAAAAATTAATTAAGCAGACCAGTTCTGGACTGCTTGACTAGATAGCATTCTACCTTGGACATGCTTGAAGGGGTACAATATTTAAAACATCTTATTTTAAATATGTCAGCTAATGATTCAAAATTGAAGAAATTGTGCATGAGTAATTTTGAATGGAATCAAGTAGATGAACTGTGTAAAGCTTTACTGCCTGCCAAGATATGTACGAAAAATTGCAATCTGAACAGCTAAGCTGATATGAGTGATGTCCCACTTCTTATTTTGTAAAGAAAAATTTAAGCCCCGCCCCTTAAAAACCAAAAATATATTGAATATCTAATATAGGTTAGGTTACAGTTTCGAAGTTAGTAGGTACAGGTACAAGCCCCGAGGTCTTAAAAACCACCACGTTAGGAATCACAGTACCTACAAAAAAGGAATGGAAAAACTGTATATAAAATAAAAACGGTTTAACATCATCAACAACAGAATATTTGTAACAGGAACTTATGCTGTGATCGTGATGTTCAGTGAGCGGTCGCCGTCGACACTCACCGCATCGACGACTGACAAACGAAGGTATATCGAGAAGCTACTATTACATGCATACGACCCTGGTCGATGGGAGTCCAACATCCACTGCCTAGAAACTGACGAACGAAAGTATAGCGAGGACTGAGGAGCAACTAAACGGTGCAACCTTACGGTGTGTGATGCAATGATGCACTGCCGCTGCTCTCTATCGGCACATGTTCATGCCTCACCACTTTTTATTCTATGTAGATTTCTATTTTATGTGTTAATATAGACACCTTGTTTATGTGGCAATTTTGCTGCACCACTTAAACTAAAGCCATATAACGTCGTGCAATCGTCGCAAATGCTGCTCAACGATAGTCGATAATGCCCCTAAAACGAATTGAAAATGCCTAAAGGTCTGATAGGTTTGGTTTTGATTTTTTAATTTTGATAAAAAAACGTACAAACGTAATATCAAAATTAAAATAACGGATGATAGTATTGAGACTCGACTCTTCAATTTATCCGTGGTAATTGCCAACGAAGTCTTTACAACGACACGATGGCACTAACCATTGATATTTGGTGTTTAGTAAAAATAGTAAAAATATTTAAAAAATAACAAATATTAATAAAATCTAATTTATCCTTTATTTATTACACAATATCAAGAATACACGGATTTTTCTTTTATTGACACAGTAGGTACTTTTCACTAACTGTAGAGACGTTTATATATTGAATACTCAACAAAAATTTCCGACAAATTTACTTTTCGTATCGGGATATGAGTATAGACTGTGCGGTTAGTGTCGCAGTCGGATAGTTCAGTCTTCGGTTATCGTCTCACCCGCATATATGTGTTGTATCCGTCTTACGAACGTCTTAACATAGCAAAAACTGTTTTGAGAGGGATTGGACCACTCATTCTGCAGTCCACGCTAACTTAAGCAACAAATTCGCATACTATTTTGAGGTGAACATTTACTGTTCAACATAGTTTTTCGGTATCACCAGTGGCGTATTTAGGAATTTCAGGGTAGGGGCAACACATATTTTGGCGCCCTTCCCCCCCCCCACAGTCAAAAAAATAAAAATATTGTTACTAACTATTATTATTTATTAAAACATCTATTAACTACTAGGTATTCATTATAAATATAAAATTCAAAACATTTTCTTCCTTGATTCAGATGTAGCAAAATCATTAATTATTTTTTCATAATCTAATGAAGTAGTTATTTCAGCTTCAATTGCTAACAACGCTAAAGCCGAGCAGCGGTCTTGTGCCATTGTAGACCGCAAATAGTTTTTTATTCTTTTTAGTGTGGAAAAAGAACGCTCTGCACTACAATTTGTAGATGGTGTACACAAGAAAATACGTAAAGCTACTTCAACATAGGGATAAACACTAGTAAAATCATGTTCTCTTATAAACTGTAACATCTGTATTGTTGTAAGCTTAACATCAATGTTTTTTATATGACCTTGAAATTGTACACACTCATTTACAAAACATGTTGCTAAATCATTTGGGTAAGTTTTTTGCAATACTTCAGCATCTTCTCTTACTTTTGCTGGAGTAATTTCATGTAACTTAAAAAAGAAAAAAAAATTTTTCACCAATTCATCATAAGCTAGTTTCCTTTTTTCAATTCATATGACAGCTTGTCAAGTATAACATAATAAGTGTTTATGATCAAATAGTCTCTTTCTGAAAATAATATTTCATTATCGTTGTTTTCATCAATGTGTATTTTCCTTTTTCTTTTCCGTTTATTATGGTCATTGTAATCCTTTATTCCAGATTTTGTTATGGCAATATCTTCTAATATCTTGAAGGAATCTTCATTTCTTAAAGATTCAACATAATGAATTAAGGATTGATATAGTTCAACAACTGTAATTAAATCTATGTCAACAGACTGTAGCTTATTACTAGTTTTATTTACACGGTCTAAAATGTTTGTCCAAAAAATTGTCATAAATACTGTTTCAAGGCGGTTGAGTTTCTTAAGTAAGCCAACAGCTTCACATTTTGTTGAAGGCTTTTCATTTCTATTATTTGAAATTTTCTGTAGAGCATGTACTATATTATTCCAATTTTTGGATAAGGAATGACAAGCATCATCACGGGCTGACCAACGGGTTGCTGAAAGACATTTTACGGTTCCTTTTAATTCAGACCATCTATGCGTGGAAGCTGAAAAAAAGTTGTATATATTTTGAATAATATCAAAAAATTCGCAAGCTTCACGACAGGCACTGGCTGCACATGTCCCAACTAAATTCAAGGAATGAGCAGCACAGGGGACAAAATTGGCTAATGGATTTATTTCTTTAATTCTGGCTTGTAAGCCACTATATGCACCAGCCATATTACTTGCATTATCATAAGATTGTGCACGTAAAAATGCTGGATCCAGATCATAAAGAGATAATGTAGTCATAACTTCATCAGTAAGTTCTTCAGATTTATGTCCACTATTAGGCAAAAAGCACATAAACCGTTCAATAGGTGTTCCGTTATTTTTAACATACCGCACCACGAATGATAGCTGATCAACATGCGATACGTCTGGCGTTGAATCCACTATTATTGAGAAGTATTTTGCTTTTTGAATTTCTTCAACTATAACTGCAAGAACCTGATCAGCCATTACAGTTATGAACTGTTCAAAAATATTAAATGATAAATAGGATGTAAAGCCTTTTCCTTTGTTGCCAAATTTTTCTATATGTGAAGCTAGAAAAGGGTCAAATAAGGCAATTAGCTCCAAGGACATTAAAAAATTACCATTTTGATTACAACCAAATTTATCAGTTTTGCCTCTAAATGCTAATCCTCTAGATGACAGTGTCTTGACTACAGCAACAACTCTCCTTAATACATTTTTCCAGTAGTTTTTTTCCTTTTCTATTTGTGATATTAAAGCACTATCAATTCTTTGAACTACTTTTCCTCTATCTTTCATAGTTAAGACATTAGTTTTGTGAGTTTGAGAATTTTCATGTGAAGTAATTCTTTTCTCTGCATGCTTCCAATCACTAAATCCTACAGTTGAAAACATAGATGTCGAACCAAATAATTTACATGGAGCACAGAATAATGACCCAGTACTTTCAGAGTACACTAAGTAATTTCTCTTAACTTTTTCACCATTAAGAAGGACCATATAAAATAATTTTGATGAGCAATATCGTGAATGTACTTTAAGAACTCCACGGATAACATTTTTACTTGTTCTTTTTGACTTGGTGAAGTTAATAGTTTCAATATTTTGAGATATTCCATTGACTGATATGTAATTTCTTGTTGTATCATCAACACACCAGTATGCCGGATCATTACTTAAAAAACATATTATTTAAATTAATTATAAGTTATAACGATAAAAGTATTCAGTTTAAAAAATATATAAAGAGAGAATAACTAGTAACTACCTGGGTGATATCAAATTTCTGGTAATATTGTCAACATGATTGTCTTTCAAATCAACAGAATCAACAGAGCAACACTTTTCATTAAAATTAACAGTATCAATTTCACTAGTTTCAATAATGTTATTTCTTTCATTCAAATCAACAAAATCATCAACAGAACAATGTTTTTCATTAACATCAACATTATCAATATCATTAGTTTCAATAATGTTATTTCTTTCATTCAAATCAACAGAGTAATGTTTTTCATTTAAATCCACATTAGGCACATTATCAATATTATTAGTTACAATAATTGTATTTCTTTTATAATCTGAAAAAAA